AAAAAGGTGGAGAGACATTCTATGCTTTTGGATTGGAAGAATTGACATAGCGAAAATGTCCATGCTACCCAAAGTGATCTACAGATTCAGTGCAAACCCCATCAAAATACCAATGACATTCTTCACAGAATTAGAAAAAATAATCCTAACATTCATATGGAACAATAAAGGACCCTGATAGCCAAAGCAATCCTGAGGAAAAAAAGTAAAGCTGGAGGCATTACACTACCTGACCTCAAAATATACTACACAGCTATAGTAACCAAAACAGCATGGTACTAGCATAGAAACAGACACTTGGAACAGTGGAACAGAACAGAGAACCCAGAAATCAACCCACATACTTACAGCCAACTGATCTTTGACAAGGGCAGCAGGAGCATACTTTGGGAAAGACTGCCTCTTCAATAAATGGTGGTGGGAAAACTGGACATCTGTATGTAAAAGAATGAAACCAGACCCGTACCTCTTGCCGTAAAAAAAGAATGAAATTCTGCCACTTGCAGCAACATGGATGAACTTAGAGAAAATTATGTCAAGTGAAATAAGCCAGGCACAGAAAGAGAAAATACCATATGTCCTCATTCATAAATGGGAGCTAAAGGAATAAACAAGTAAAGAAAGAAAGAAAGAAAGATACAACAATCACCATAATTCATGGAACTTTCAAAAAGAGTGAACAGAACTGAGGGAAATGGGGGTTACTGAGAAATTGGTTAATGGACACAAAAAACGATTACATTGTGTAATGTTGAATATAATAATTATCCTGATTTGAGCATCACATATTGCACACAGGTATTGATATTCAGCACTGTACTGCACAGATATGTACAATCAGTTCTGTTTCATTAAAGTAAAGAAAGACTCATTGAGTTAATACCAAAAGGTGTTTTTTTAATTAAAAATATTTTTTAATTTTATTTTTTTAATTGACAAGTAAAAATTGTAATATGTATGGTGTACAACATGATGTTTTGATATATGTGTGCATTGGGGTATGGCTAGATCAAGCAATTTAACATGTACGTTACTTTGTATACTTTTTTTGTGGTTGGAATACAAAAGTATTTTATTCTTAATTTAACATAAGTTATAAATTTATAGTTAAATTTTATAAATAAATTATTAAGTTGTTAGATTTAAAAACTTAATTTTTCTTTTACTTGGGTAGTCCTGTTTTCCAATTTACAGTTGGTTTGTTTGATTATTCGTTTGTTTATTTAATCCACAAAAAGCCTGCTGAGCAGCTCCCTTGTGCCAAGCACTGCTGTTGGTGCTGTTGGCGCCTGGAGTGAGGAAGGAGACGGGGCCCCTGTCCTCAAGGGCATCTGTGGAGCCTCTGACCTGGTAACTGTGATTGCTAACGGCTTCTGTCCATTTTCAACCCAGGCCCTTCAGGACGAAGCAGTGTCAGGATGCTGTGGTGCCTGACCCACTCCCAATGCGTCTCATCCCACTTGATGTTTTGTTATAAAAAATACCAGTTTTCAGTCCATCTAAGGCAGACATTTTAAACCTTTTAACATCTGTGAAATGAGTATCACCTCACCAGTTAGTGAAACATGGTGCTCACTAACTTGTGTGTGCTCTTATGCCGTCCCAGCACGGCTCAGCTCTGTGTGCAGGATCCTATTTCATTTTCATCACAACCCATTGAGGAAACTGGAGCCTAGACAGGTTAAGAAACTTGTCTGAGATCATAGCCTTAACAAGCGGCTGAACCCTTCAGACTTGAGTCTTAGTTCTTAATTATGATGCTTTTGTGGTTTAGGATAAGGTTTCCCGCCCATTCTCTTTTGATCTTCACAACAAGCCAGGGAGGCAGGTATTACTATTATTCTCCCATTTCACAGCTCAGAAAAATAAGGTTCAACATAACAATTTGAAATTGTTGGAATCAAAAAACAATTCTAACCCAATACACAAACTCGCATTTTGAAGACTGTATCAGTCTGGGTCCAATCAGAGAGAGAAACCACACAGTGGATTAAGGAGGGATGTTTATCATGAAGAATTGCTGAGCTGTGATAAAATTATTCCAGGATATAAGGAGACTGTATGTGTTTGCTCCCCTAGCTGGAGTAGGGTCCCCATGGCCAGACATATTGGAGGCCCTTCCCCAAAGCTGGAGTGTGATCTCAGCCCACTGGAAAGCAGAGAAGTTCTCTGGCTGGGCCGGGCCATCGGTGGGCATGCAGAGGGCTGGCAACCTTGGTCCCTAGCAAGTCACATGGGGCTACAGAGAGAACCTGGGTGCTGCTGTGGGCAGGGCCCCTCGGGCACTGGGGTCATGTTGAGAGGGTGGCCATGGCTGTGGGGTGGCACGACCATGGAGCCCCGCCCACTACTGCAAAAGTGTGAAAGGGTGAGGTGTGGAGGCACCGTCCAAGGCAGGGTGCACTTGGCACTGGGAGGCATAGCTCACACATGGCACGAAGATGCCATGTCCTGATGCTGAGTGTTGGCATTGGGCACTGGCCTGTGATCTGCTTGGCAGGTCTGTGTGGGCATCAGATCCTAGTCCCTCACATGCACTCCGTGACCAGGCAACATGCAGTGAAAATGCCTTCCCAACAGAGGCAACGGGCTGTGTGGAGTGAGCACTGCTGATGTTCTTTGAGGCACCTGGTTCATTGGGAATGAAAGTGCTGTCACGAGAGGAGGGCACAGAGCACTGCAGTCCTGCTCCTCACACTGTAGTTAAGGTGATCTGGGAACAGTGGCTGTGTGCTGTAGGGAGCCTGCTTTATGACGTCCCTCTGCGGCCTGGAGGTTGCCCCACACTGTCCTCTTGAAGCCTGCAGCCCTCACAGCCAGCTGAGCTGAGAAGTGAGGTCTGGGAGGGCTGATGGTTTGAAACCTGCTAGAGAAAGACCTTGGGTCACCAGGAACTCTGAGACTACAGGTCAGCGGCCTGCAGCAAGTGCCCACCAGGCCAGGCAGAAGCTCCACAGACCCCCCTGCCTGCTTCCAGTGGGTGTTGGGAAATGAACACAGGAGGACCCCCTTGGCCCAGGCCCTGTGAGCAGCAGCACTGCCTATAGCCATCCATGTCTTTGTGGACCCTCCTTGTAGGGGACGTTGAGGAAGCCTGCCGACAGCTGTGGGTCTCCATGAGGGAGAGCATTGTAGAGAGAGGACTCAGGGTTGGGGACTCATTTGGATATGATGGAAAGGAAGAGTAACCCCCAGGGGTCACCTTTGAGCAGGTGAAGAACACCTGAGCCAGGTGGGGTGCAGGTGGGGGTGACACCACAGGAGAACACTATGTCTGCCCCCATGCCATGCCCCTGACCTGGGCTGGGAGAGACCAGAGCCCAGACCCAAGTGAGAGTGGGCCTGGGCCATATGTCCTCAGGTGGGAGGGCTGTTGTTTCTTCCTGTCTGGAGCTGTGGCATGACAAGACAGATCCCTGCCAGGTCCTTTTGCAGGTGCAGGCCCTCCCTTTGGTGAAGACATAGGTGCTTTTGGGTGTTCTGACTTTAGGCAGGTCTCCTGTTAACTCCCCGCGGTGCTGGGGCTGCTAGAGAAAGACCTTTCTCTGGCAGGTACTCTGTGAGTCCCGCAAACTGCCTTCTGGGCCTCAGGAGCTTCTGCTCACTGCCTGTCTGCCTTGGTGATGGCCTTACTCACTTCCTGGTGGGCACACCCTCTGATGGCATGCCTGCTGTAGGCCCCCTCATTGGGGAGGGCTACCACAAAGGGTCTTCCTCAGCGTCCTGCAGGAGCAGGAGCCAGGGGGGTCCTCACAAAGGCTTGGGTGTTCAGGGGCTGTCTCCACAGAACTCAGGCTGATCTGGCTATCAGTTCTCTCCCCTCTTACACTGTTATTTTTTTCCTTTAAGAAGTTCTGTAAGTTAGTAATAGGGACAAGTCCCCAGGGGGTATGAGGGCATCAAGCTGTATTTTTGGCTGTGGTTGTCACAGGAGTTTCCAGAGGCAGTGGAATCTTGGCTGGGTGGGAAGCATAGCACTAGAGCTTCCTCATGGAGGGCTCCCCGCTTCCCTCACGCCATGCTGCACTCACTGACAAGGCACAGCGAGCAGATGGGCGGGCAGGAGAGAGTAACAGGCTTCCAGGCTGGAGCCACTTCGGATCTGCTTTTATGTTGTTTGGTCTTTTAAATGATATATTAATTTGCTGCCCACAGGGAGGAAGGGTTTCTCAGGAGCTCCTCAAGGTGCAGTGGGTAGTTATTCTAAAAAACCCACCCGTAACAAGGAGTGGGCTGGAGCAGCGAGTATGGCCGAGGTCTCTTCCCTGCCCTTCATCCTGTGAGAGCTGTGTCACTGTAAGGCCCAACCCTGTAAGAAGACCAGTCTTTTCAGTTGTCCCCTCTGCAATCTGTAGAGGTCGGCTCTGAAGAATATTTCTGCACTTCTCAAGTGAAACAAGAATTTCTGTCATTTAAAATGATGGTGTGGATGGGTCCTCCTTTTAAGTGGAATTTTATATTCTGCCAATTACATGTTTTGACTCTGCCTTGCTGTGATCTCCTGTGAGGCATTCGGTCATACAGTGATTGGGGTAAAGAAACAAGAATCCTTCTGGGGCCTCTGTGTGTGTGTGTGTTTCGTTTTTATAGCTAGGTTATTTGTCCTAAAACTGTTGTGGAATGGAAGATAATTTAGTGTATGTTCAACTGCCTAAACAAATAAATGTATTTAAAAGATTAACTTGATGGTTTATGGCAGGGTTTGCAAATTCCATCACTGTAGAGGCCTTGGTGGGATTATGGCTGGTCCAAGTGAGGCCCAGGGAGGGTCCTGCTGGATGCGCCTGCCCAGGGTTGTCCTAGGAGGGCAGAACTCTTGCTGCCAGGTATTCTGGTTTCTGTTTTTAAAAGGGAAGCCAAAAATTCGGATTCTGACATCACCACCAGTTTAGAAATATTATTCATGCTCAGCATGGTGTCTGCCACTTCCCCTTGGTTCGTTCTTCCTGCTCTCCCACCTTGCCCACCTGCAGTGAGACCTTTTTCCACCTTCTCTGCAGGCGACAAGGCTCTTGATGGCTATAGTAAAAAAAAATATGTCTGCAAGTTGCTCTTCATCTTCCTCCTTGGTCATGACATTGACTTTGGACACATGGAGGCTGTGAACTTGCTGAGTTCAAACCGATACACGGAGAAGCAGATTGTGAGTACCCCACGGTAGCCCCTGGTGCTGACAGCTAAGTCCCCCTCCCCTTTCCAGCCCAGCTGGATGCTCTTCAGGAGGCAGTAACACTGGAGGAGGAGGTTTTGTTTCTGGATTAGGTTCTTTTAATAAGGGGGCCATTTCTTCTCTTGCTACTTTTCTTTACCACTTCACCTCTGACAAGTCTAAGGATTTCCCTGTTGGTTTATGTGGGCGCTGCTTGAGCCCAGCGTGTGGTGTGATGGTGCCCTGGGTGCCGCCGCTGTCTCCTACCAGGTCAGCCTCAGAGGAAGCAGCACGGCTCCTTATCCCCCAGCCGCTGGCAGGACTTTGTTTCTGCAGTAGGCTCCACATGCATGTGGTTAGAGTCAGAGCCACAGGGCAGCATCCTCATGCCCCAGCCTTGCCCAAGCACACCCACAGTGTAAGGGTACTTCCCACTGCCAAAACCTGAGAAGCTCTGCATTCTTTTGAAATAATTTTAATTCTATATGTTTTCCCCAGGGTTATAAAGTAACATTTTCTTCAATTTGTCAAAAAGTTTAACTTGCAGAAATTAAAAAATACTGTAGATGTCTCAGGGTTTTTTAAAAATATTGGCATTTAGTCAACACTAATTGTGGGGTGCCTACCATGCACCAAGCAGTGTGCCAGGGAGACTCCTGGCTGCAGTGACCAAAAGCAGACTTAGGCCCCACCCATGTCTACTGGGGGGATGGGCATCTGATGGCCCCATAAAAGTAGAATGGCAGCTGTGGCCAGTGCCCTAGCATGGACTCTGAGGGAGGGTGGCAGATGTGTTGAGGTGGACTGAGGAGTGAGGGGACATTAACTGGGGGCAGGAGGAACAGGGTCAGCATAGCGGGCTGCACCCAGCAAAGGGCCTGTTTGGGAGAGTGTGGAGAGTGAGGTGGCTGCATGCCAAGCAGACGGGAGGGTGCTGAAGGTTTCCTGAAGGAAGGCCCAGCGTCTGTGCATCTGGGCCGTGGGGGACTCAGGTTGTCACACACTTTCTGTTCTGTCTTTTTGGAGCACAGGGCTACCTTTTCATCTCGGTGCTGGTGAACTCCAACAGCGAGCTGATCCGCCTGATCAACAACGCCATCAGGAACGACTTGGCCAGCCGCAACCCAACATTCATGGGCCTGGCCCTGCACTGCATCGCCAACGTGGGCAGCCGTGAGATGGCTGAAGCCTTCGCCGGGGAGATCCCCAAAATCCTCGTGGCAGGGTTTGTATCAGCCACTTGAGAACACGCTTCTTTCTTATGTTAGATACATCGGATACGTAACTGCTTGATTTGTACATATTTTAATCTCCAAATCTTATGTAATGGGGAGATGGGATACAGACTGAAGTTGGATCAAGAGGTACCATTTCAGGTGAAGTCCAGTCAGACTTTCCCTCCCCAATACCACTGAGATTTAGAAATAGATAAAGTGGGGTTGCGATCCCGTTGCCGGTCCCCGGTCCGGTACGGGGGCAACACTGAGGGTTGCGATCCGTTGCCGGACACGGAAAAAGACAAAAGACAAAAAAAAAAAGAAATAGATAAAGGAGAAAGTGCACACCCTGCCAGCCACAACCACACCAAGAAAGGGCTTCAGTCTTGCATGGACACTAAGGAGAGGAAAGTGCAAAGCCTTCCTGTGGTATGGCTTGGCAGCATTCCAGAGAAGGTCAGGCCCCTGAATCCTGAGGATTCTTAATAATCTGTCCCCCCCCAACCCTTTCATTAATTTGGGGAGAGCAGAAGAGGCTGAGGAACCAGCTCTAGAGAGTTTAAAACAGTCCTGGGCTGCCTGTGGCACAGGGGCCTGGCAGACACAGGGCTACCACCACCTGTGTGTCCAGGAGACTTTGCCAAGTTGGTAAACTAACCCACAGCTCATGCGCCACGACTCACGAGAGATCAGGACACCTTGTCAGTGGACTGAGCAGGCCCTGCAAGCTACCAGAAGGTGGGTGGACACAGCCCTCAGACCTCACAGTGAGTACCAAAGCCAAGGCAGTGGGAAGGTGCCAGAGAAACATGTCTCAACTAGGGTTCTCAACTGGGCCATGCTGTCTCTGGGGGACCCGGGCAGTGTCTCAAGGCATTTTGGTCATCACAGTGGAAGGGGTGCCACTGGCGCCTCGTGGGTAGAGACCAAGCATGTTGCTCAGCATCGTGCCCTGTGCAGGATGGCAGCCACAGCAAAGAATGATCCAGCCCCGCTGTCAGCCAAGGCTCAGCCCTGGGCCAGATGGGGCGCCTGGGCCACAGGCCACATGGAGGGCAGCGGCAGGGTGCCCATGAGCCACAGGGGAGTGATGAGAGTGTCCCAGAGAGGCAGACACAGGAGCCAGGCTGGCAGAGAGGCCAGAACAGCCCGGTGGAGACAGAAATTCAGAAACGCAAGAGTTCAGAGGTGGGCGGACCAGCAGGAGGACTGCAGAGCTGAGGACACAAGTGGAGAGCCTGGAGGACACTGTTACACATATAGTCGGTCGGAAGGTGCAGAGAACAGCGTGGATGCCCTGAAAATGAAGCGACCTTCAGTATGAGTGAGGGGCTGGGGCTTAGGAAGAAGAAGCTGGAGAAGATTCCATCCAGGCCGCTCTGAGCCTCTCCTCATCTGGGAGGGCTGCCACAGGGTCTCCGGTGAGGCTTCCCCTGCCCCCGCCCTTCCTCTCCCGGACACACCCAGCGACTGCTCTGTTCGTGGCCTGTCTCTGCCATCTGTGCAGGCTCCCCAGGTCCAAGGGTTTTGTCTGCTGTCACTGTTGGTCCATCGTGAGTGCTCAGTGAGCGAAATGTAAACAGACAAAGGCAATCCTGAGAAGTGCTCAGAGCAAGAAGCAGGAGCATTCCCTGGGCGAAGCATTCCCTGGGTGAAGTGTGTACTGCTTGTGTGGAAGGGAGAACATCGAGACCCAGCCTGCATGAGGGCTGGCAGGTGGGGAGCATGTGGCCCTGGGCTTTTGTACCTGGCTGGGTGGTCCTGCAGGGGAAGAGGCATCTTCCTACCTCAGAAAGCCAGGTGATGTGGTGCCCATGGTCCCCCCTTGAATAAAATGACCAACTCTTGAAATCCAGCTACGTAGCAGATGACTCAAGATGGAGTGCTCAGGAGAGGCAGTACCGTGGTTGGAGGGCCTAGAGACAGAGGGATGGTGGGTGCAGAGGGGAAGTCAAGGGCTGCCAGAAGTAGGGACTGAGGAGGGAGGGGTGACAGGAGTAGGACGCAGCATCACTGAGCTCTGCTGAACTCACGGAGAGAAGCAGTCAGCACACGTGGGGCAGCTGGTGACTCTGGCCCCCAGTGGGCAGGGTTCCCCGCGTCCCCCTGGTGGGGCCTGCAAAACTCGGTGCTTATTTCTCTCTTGGATGTTCTTACTGTGAGTGTCTCTGTCTACCTCAGTGTGGGCGCGATGGGCACATGCCTCCCCCACCCGTGGGGGCTGTTCACAGTGTCAAGCGTGGAAACAAGCTGTGCCTGCTCTCCGGAGGGTCGGGGCAGGCAGCCTGGCTGGTGCTCTGCACCTCCCCCAATGGCCTCACCAGCCCACCAGCATGGGCACAAGTGGTGGGCTCGAGGTTCCTTAAGCTGTGCCTGCTCTCCGGAGGGTCGGGGCAGGCAGCCTGGCTGGTGCTCTGCACCTCCCCAATGGCCTCACCAGCCCACCAGCATGGGCACAAGTGGTGGGCTCGAGGTTCCTTCTCTGGGGCTGACCTCATGAGGGACTCAATGTGCTGCTCTTTCCCAGGATGTTCCCATCCAAAAGAAGAGCGTTTTACCAAAGCAGTTTCTCTTTGGGATAGTATGGGGACATTTAGGGGTTTCTCATGTTGGTTTGGACTCATTTAGGAATAAAAAAGCCAAAAGGTAAATGGTAGAGATAGTCCTCAAACCCTTTTCTTTCTTCCAAATGGAACAGTCCCCGAGTAAGTTTGTTATGTGCTTTGATGGCACTGCTTCCTTTTCAGGTGCATTCAGTCACCACTAGAGGACTCCTTGTGGGGTCTGTCACTTTCCCAGCTATGTAGCAGAATTTGGCTGGGGGTAGTGAGCAGGAAGGATACAAAGAGCACTGAAAACGGTCTGGGCCCTCCACAAATGTTTTCAAGCCAGAGAGAAAAGCCCTACGGTGCCTCCCCCTCCCAGGTGTCTGGATGACCTGGAGCCCTTTGTTCTGTCCTTCTGGTGCTTGGAGGGTGTGTACCTCCGATTCCAGGACGCTGGGCTCCCTGGCCCAGGAGTACGACTTGTGCAAGACTGTTACACAGTGTGGTTTAGGCTTTGTGAATACTTGGAAAATGCTTGTTGTAGTGAAGACAAGCAGAACAGAGTCACACACATTCTTCCTGAATGAGGCTAAAGGCCAAGAAGGGATATAGAGTGACAATATTTGTGTCATTGAGGTGGGATTTCATGTAAAGTGTTTTCTCTTACATGTTCCCGTTTGTTAATCTTGTTAATGCTAGTGAAAGCCATGCCCTTTTCTAGTGCTGTGGCTTCTCTGGACTTCCACCTGTCAGGGAGGGAAGCAGGGTGGGGCTGAAAGAGGATATCACAGGGGACTTGGAGTTCCTGATGGTGAGAGGCCCTCAGATACTTCTTTATTGTGTGGATTATTAAGTGAATTGTAAAAGAAAAAAGTGCTGTAGTTCAATCAATTAATGAGCAACATTAGTTGAACATGGTCAGCCTACATAGCCAAGGTCGTATTCAGCAGTTGGGAAAAATATTTTTCGAGGTAAGGAAGTTGGCTCACTGGGGCTCACGTGGCAGGAAATGGCCTTACTCTGAGCGTCGTCCAGGCCTTCTTGACCTCCAGGCCAGACCCATCTATGTCTCTCCTGCCTCATCAAGTGACTCTGGGCTGTAAGCTCATGGGGGCCATGCAGTGGGCCAGCCATGTTCTCGAGTGACCATGATATTTGTCTTTCAGGGACACCATGGACAGCGTGAAGCAAAGTGCTGCCCTGTGCCTGCTGCGCCTGTACAGAACGTCTCCTGACCTCGTCCCCATGGGCGACTGGACATCCCGAGTGGTGCACCTCCTTAACGACCAGCATTTGGTAAATGTCTTTGGATTCGATTCCACTCTTACCCCACCAGAGGACCTTTTGTGGAATAGCCATTATAAAAGAAACCTGGTGTAGTTTTTATGCTGCGTATTTGGAGCAGTTCAGTGCGTCAGACCTGTGGCACTTGTGCTGAGGGCAGTGGAGATTGCCCTTCCTGGGCATCAGAAGGAAAAAGAGGCTGTCCGTAAGTAGGCATTTGTGAGGACCTCCAGCGTGCTGGACTTGTTATGTACAGAGGCTCTGCAGACGCGCAAGACTGAGATCAGAGTCCTCTGAAGCAGCCTGCCCAGTGAGGGGTGACTCCCTCCTGGAGTCCCTGTTGGCTGCCCGGTTTCAGGCTATGATGGGGCATCCTGTGGTCCCGATCTGAGCTCCACTGCGTTAGTCAGTCTATAGGACCAAGCTGTGTGTGAGGCCCGACTGTCCCCCTACTTCATAGACGGGCATTGGGGCTTGAGAGTGGCAAGAAGCAAGGTGCAAGTCCTGCCACATCCAGGGGAGGGCCCACAAGAGTGTGAACACCGGAGGTGGGGTTGTTGGTTGCCACAGTTTGTCCACTGCGTCAGGCAAGAGCAGGTGTGGGCAGGATGGCCTTGTTCTGCCTGAGTTCTGTTGTGTAAATGAGAGAATCAGGATCGACACTAACAGAAGTATTTTACTTCTGAGTAGGTAAAGGTGAGTGCGTTAGCTGGTCACTACATTTTTTCCCCAGAAGAGAAAATTAAATTAAAAAAAATTAAAAGTAAGTGATCATTATGCGTAGATTTGGAGGTGGGATAGCAGGGGTTGCGCTGGGCATCTTGCTGTGTGGCAGGACAGCTGTGCGTGCTGTCCCGTGCTGTTCCTTCTTATGCTCATCAGGAATACAAAACAAAGTTGGGGATCAGACATTGTTATGTTTCAGGGAGAAGGCAGAAGGACCTCGGGAGGAAGAGTTGAGGACGTTGCTTCACATGCTGGTGGTGATGAGACCCAGGTCTGTGTGGTCTATTGGGCTCAGGCCCCACAGTAGGGTCAGAATATGACTTAGAATTGTCAGCTGTGTGTTCATGTTTCACCACCAAATGGATCCTGTGAGGCAGTGGGATTTTTCCAGTTTTGCAAATGAAGAAACTAAGGCTCAGAAAGATTTAATGGCTTCTGACAGACCCAGATTTGAGCTAGGAGTTTGCAGAGGACTCTGGTGGCGGTGTTGGGCTGTCCTGGCCCCAGGTGCTGTGTGCATGTGCAGGTGAAACAGTGGGAGGGAGCTATGAGCAGGTGGGCAGGCTAGCAGGCCTGGGTGGTGATGGGCGTGTGCTCCTGCCTGACTCAGCCACTGGACGTGGGGTTGCAGATGGGGTTCAGGGCTTTCCACATCTCACAGTGCTTTCTGCAGACGTATCTGTGGCCATTCCGTGGGATCCTGGCCCAATATTGTCATCACTCCTACCTGGGAGGGGAGCTTCTGATGGTCAGAGAGCCTGACTGAGTGCTTTTTAGGGTGGCAGGGGCTGTTCCTCATGTGACCATGGGGGCCCCACTCATGGGACACTTCAGGACTTTGTGACCCCAGCTCCTTGCTTTGCTTTTGTATTTTCACATGCATGACTTATTTCACTAGGTGTGTAGGTTCATGTATTCCTGATTACCGCAACAAACTCAGCTGAAGCAGATAAGGTCAAGGGGCGTCACAGCCCCACTCCAGGGAGGCCCCATGGCCCAGCACCTCCTTCATCTCTGCTGCTCCTCACATGCACTCTCATCTCGCAGGTGGCCGCCTTCCTGTGGCAGTAGCTATTCTATTTGCACAGCACCTTCTGGCTTTGCCACTGCAGAAGGCCTGAGACTTGGATTTCTTTGGTCTCAAGTTCAGGAATCCCTGGGAAGCCCCCACGCCCTTCAGAGAGCAGTGGAGCAGCCCAGGGGGTCTTGTGGAGTTGGGTGAGGGGAGGCGTGGGGAGAACCTGGTAGATGATGGTCAGAAGTTTGGCTGAGGGCCGGCCCCTGGCTCACTTGGGAGAGTGTGGTGCTGATAACACCAAGGCCACGGGTTCGGATCCCTATATAGGGATGGCCGGTTCGCTCAGTTGGGAGAGTGTGGTGCTGACAACACCAAGTCAAGGGTTAAGATCCCCTTATTTGTCATCTTTAAAAAAACAACAAAAAAAGAAGTTTGGCTGTTAGTCAAGCACAGGGAGCAAAAACACAGGGAATGGCACTGGTGGGGAGGGGTGTGATGTGGCCTGGGCCCTGTCCCGGGTGCTTTATACAGCGGTCCTGGTGCTGAGGGTGCCGTCATGATAAGCCAGCAGGTCACATGATGGAGCAGGTGGCTTACAGGGATGAAGACAGGAGCTGCCTCCTGGAGAAGGCCAGAATGGCCAGAGGGGAAGGGTCCCGTGCTGCCTGCCAGCACACGTGGTGTCCTGCAGAGTCTCACTGCTGAGAAGGAGAGAAAGCCCTGAGTTCAGTAGCCGGTGAGCCGATCATGAGCAGATCCCATGATCAATTCCACAGATGCACGTTTCTTGTGGATCAGCTTCGCTCCAAACACTTGGGACCCCAGTGGAGAATCGCCCTCTTCCCAGATGTAGTTTACACATCCTAAACACAGCTTCTTAGCACTTCTCGGTTGGACGTGGGAAACTGCTACCACTTACTGTGCGCACTGAGAAACACACAGTAAGATCAGTGAGAGCGATTTCTTCAACATGTGTGTGGTGTTCACATTTTCATGGTGAAGCTAGAGAAGCTGTGTGCAGTGGTTCTCGGGGGTCCCAGTGGCACTGGGCTTGCCTGTCTTTGTTGCGTCACAGCTGCAAAGACTGTGCCTACTCGCTGGCTGGGCACAGGTGGAACAGGAGGGAGTAAATAAACAATTACAGTAGATGTTTCCCATCTTCAGAGTCAATGTGTATCATTCATTTTCTTACTCTTTTCAATATTTGTGAGAGAACTTCTTTAGTTCACTAAAATTTGTTTCAAGAACTACGAGTTATTGCCAATAACTAGTGATTGTCCTGGGGCAGTAACAGGCTCCCCTGTGCTTTGAGGGAGACTGCTCATACCCCAGGGTATGAATTCGTTCCCAGCAGAGCCAGGCAGTGTGCTTCAGGGACACAACTAGCACCCTCTACAAGAAGGACAACAAGAGACTTCTTCAGTTGCTGTTTGTTACAGTCTGGATTTTGGGTGTAAAGCCTCGAGTGAGTCTGAAGATAACATCTTCCTCTACAGGTGACAATGACTGGTGTAAGTCGGAGGCAGCAGGTGGTCTGGAGTGTCCGAGCTGCCCTGGCCCCCTGTTGCCTCCACCTAGGTGGGATCTGGGCTGAGCATGGCTAGATTTCTTAGGTTTCAAAGAGATGCTGAAAAAGAAAACCTGTGTGTGCTATCTCAATTTTTGAAAACATCGTGGGTCCATCAGAGTAGGGCTGAGGTGTCTCGTGGGCTGCCAGGGTTGCTTTCAAAGTGTATTTGGAAAATGAGTTTAAAGTGAGTGGTCAACTTCAAGAATTTATACAGGGATACAAATGCTGTTGTTGAATGTGTATGTTTCTCTTGCAGGGTGTGGTGACCGCCGCCACAAGTCTGATCACCACTTTAGCACAAAAGAACCCAGAGGAGTTTAAAACCTCTGTCTCTCTGGCTGTCTCCAGATTAAGCAGAGTAAGTCTGTTGATGGGGAAACAGAAGTCAGGGTGGGTTTTGTCTTAGTTATTTTAATTAATGTATTAGTTTACTTTTTAGAATGTAAGATATCTGGCCCAGTTTGTAAATTCAAGAATGAAAACTGTCTTGGTTAGCGTTAGGCTTTTCTTTCAACTTTTTGGTGAATTGAGAAATGTCCGCACAGGACTGTGTATGAAGCCGAGAGTACAGCTCACTGCTCCTGTCGCAGGAGCCAGCATTCAGCCGTCACGCAGCGCCCAGAAACCCTGTGTTCCCCCACTCACTTCTCCTTCCCTCCCCACTAAAGGGACCCTGTCCTAACTTTTGTGCTCAGTGCACTCCTTGTTTTCCTTTGTAATTTTGCCTCCTGAACATGCATCCTAAAACCTGTCATTTAGCTTTGACTGTGTTTTGAGTTTTTTGTCAGTGGATCACAGAGCACATATTCTATGGTATTTTGACTTGTTTTGCTCGATGTTGTGAAACTCTCATGTTTATTTTGTGCAGCTGTCATTCATGTGTTTTTTTTTTTTTTTTTTTTTTTTTTTTTTTTTTTTTT